CAAAACAATAAGTAACTCTAAAATGAAAAATTATCTAGCTTCATAATCATTTCAACATTAAACCAAACAGGCATAGAATTATACTGTAAAGTGTAATTGTACCTTTTAATTCTACATGGGTACCTGAGGGGTATTTGTGTAATGAATCAAGTTTTAACAGATTTCATTTAGCAAAACTGAGTATTCACTTGATTTAAAAAAAATATCTTCTCTTTAGAATTTTTTTAGTGATAAATAAATTAACAAATATTAAGATAATATAAATAAAACCAAATTTCCTTAATATATAAAGAGATGCCTATTACTAAAACAAAATGGCAAAACAGTTTTTCATTTGACAAGAAAATTATATTACATCTGGAGATTTATTTTCCAACCAACCACTTTATTTCTGGTTAGAAATATTCCTTCCATTATTAACAGTTATAAACCATAGATTTATTTCTTATGTTTATTTGTTTATTTCTTCTTGAGACAAATCTAAATTGGGTGGGTAGGTCAAAAACTGCCATCAATAAATACTTACAATCTACTCAATACACTTACTGTCACTGAATGGTACACACACACACACACACACACACACACACGACTGATGCTGCTACCCTTACAACAGCAGCAGTAACAGTGAAAGGAGGAGGTGGCTGTGTCAAGATGAAGCAACATCTTTAGCACTTATTGATTTTGTCTCACTCAACCTCCCTCCCTCTCTCATTACAAAAACTTCTCCATTCCACTGTGTCTGTGCTCCAAACCCATCATCATACCACAAGCAGCTGGCACAGTAGCAACCACTGTAAGCCTCTGACTCTTCCTCTCTCTCAATCTCTTAAGCACACAAGAATATATATATATATATATATATGTGAAGACATACTGTGAGATAAGATGTATATTAAAGTCAATAAATGTATAAGTAGGTGTGACTGGATCTGATAAATGTTGTATTATACCATGTTTATGCACACAGAAATATATACAGAAAACTTGTTTTCGATAATAGCTTGTGTGTGCATAACCCAAACAATGTGCATATTACTTCCTATTCACATTAAAAGTTACAGTTTTTGTCTTGAAAATCAAATTTTTTTTTACTTTTCCATAACAATATCTATGCAAACAGCATTCATGGCATTCGATGAATAGTCGATAAAAAGTGGATAATTTTTTTTTTTTTAAATTCTGATTTACAGATATTTAAATTAGTAATTTTCAGGAGCAAGTTATCGCTTGTTGAAATTCATCAAAATTATTGAACAATTTTAAAATACCTACTAACTTCTACAGATATGCACAATTATTAAAGCAAATCAGATCTAACAATGGTTTCTCCTCCATACACACACACATTATATTATATACACACACACACACACATAAATAAAGGAAAGCTTATCTTAGCTGACATGTCTTGTCCTGATGGATTTTATGAAGGTAAATGTGAGGATCCTATTTTGCAATAAGAATTTATAAACAAAACTTAAAATGTTAGTTTTTCAGTTTTTAGTGTCAACTAAGATAAGTTTTCCTTTTGTCCTTTTTTTCATAGTCAAAGTTATATCTGAAATTTTACACACACATGTACACGCACATCATATATATATATATATATATATATATATATATATATGTATGAATAAACAAAAGATGTGAACCAACATAATTGTGCTCATTGTGAGAGTGATATTTTACTCGGAATAGAAAGAATGAAGTGAGGCAATCAAGACTTTCAATTCTATTTTCTTCTTTTCATTTTCCCCACCAAATGTTTCTACTGACAGCCAACACATTAATGCTGAATAAATTTAACAAATAAGATCACTGTGTTAAACTTGATCATTGTTTAAAATCAAAAAGCATCAGTTTTATTCTAAAGGAAAAAAGATTAAAGATGAGGAATTCTTAGATGTGGCAACATTGGACATGAATGGATAAATATTATCAGTATTATCCAAAATTCTAGCTCTAAAATTAGGGCTGCTTGGAAATGATATTTGTGATTCCCTCTAGAGCATAGAATGGCTTACATTAATTATTTGCACATTAAACATCAAGATTTTATAATATTGTAACTGATTAAGCATGAAACCCTATATTTTTTTCTTGTATATAGTTAACAAACAAGAGTATCCTTTTGTTGATTCAAGTATACTTGTAGACAAAGACAAAATGCAGTCTTCTCAAAAGCAAAAGATATGTACACACACACACACACACACACACACACACAGTTTAAAAGAATAATGTAATGGACTAATATTACTTATTAATGGATGTCCATACTATTAATCTCCTTAAAAGTATACTTGACCTCATCCTATCCAATCTGAAACAATTCCTTATTAGTTCAGGCTTAAAAGGAAGAGGTAAAAGGTCATTTACATTATAACCAAAATGGCGGCTATAGAATTATGCAGCTAATTTTGCAATCTGAAGTACTTCTTAGATAGAATGAAATGAAAATCTCATGTACAACTCCTTCAAGGATTCTTGATCCATTTTTCTTTCACCTACAATAGCCATGAATGCTGGTAATCAGTTTAATTCAAAAACTGTCATTATTTTCCAGTAAACACCAACATTTCAAACAAGTAAGGATTTTTATCTAGAAAATAAATAAATAATAGAATAAATAATTTAAAGTTAAAAAAATAAAAGAAAGTTCATTTCAAAATTCAGCTCTGGAATAAGTTACAATTGCAAACAGAATTTTAAAGTTTTGCATCCATAAGCTAATGGAGTGGCATCTGAGCCTTAGACAAATTTTTCACATTCTATGCCTACCATGGTTCATTGAAATATTCCTATCCTTATATAAAGTTTTGAAACACTGGTGCCTAGACGAGTGATGCACTTGAATTCTCTCAGGTTTAAATTGTGATTCTTTTGTACTAATGTCTTTTATTTGATTATCAAAGTTAGCAAACATTGATTTCATTGTTAACAAGAATAGTTTTGCTTTTTTCTTTTTCTCTTTAACAACTCTCAACAAAATACATACTTTTATTTCCAGTGTCACAAAAAAGTATATTTGAAAACAGAAACAAGTTTTATATTTTTATATTAATTAGTGTTGAGATAGAAAAATGTTTCATTTAAAGCTTCGTTTAATTATATTGCTCATTTACTTCAGATCTGTCAGAATTACATTGCAGATTTTATAAGTATTAAAAGCCAGTATCATTAATGAAAGAAGCAAAAAAAAAAAAAAATAAAGTGAAATCATTCAGTTATCCTGAGTTTAGAAAATAAAAAAAAATCTATTTTAAGAAAATTTCCATAGATTTTCACATTTTCATTCATTCATTGATTTGTTTTCTACAGCTTATTAACCCTTTGCAGGTAATTTAAAGCCAGAAAATATTTTTAGAGTTTAAAATTTATTTATTTTTTTTTAGCGGTAATAATGATTTAGTGATACAAGTCTTAGGTAGATTCTTACCTTTCTCAAGGGTATTTGTGTGTAAGTGAATATAACATCCCAGCTGGAATTGGAACTCTGCTCTCTGATTAACAATTTTAAGCCAATATCCATTACACCACCTGCACATCTAAGCTTACAGCATCTGGTATTCCGAAGCAGTCAACCATCTAGGTACAGACCAGACTCAATGTTGCTTAAATTCAGTGATCATATGGGAATTGGCATGTCAACGTGATGTGAACATAAGCCCCATATTTTAATAAAACACATATAGATGTATAATGTGCAACAAAATTTAAAATTACATTAGAAAAGACTGTCAACTCAAAGAGAAAAGTCTACTTTAACAAAGGTTAAAAAAAGATGATCAAATAGAATAGAGCTTCATGTGATTTATCTTTTAATTTTGTCTTTCGACATCTGAAATAAACCTGTAAGAACTTTTAGGTCACTTTAAAGAACTTGGTTGGTTTGCAAAAAGCAGATTATTTGGTACAGTGTATGCTTTCTAAAGAAATATGATTTAAAAACATTATCCATACAGATAAGAATAAAGCATGTATCATTTTAGAATGAAAGTTTGTCCTTTTATTACTCTGTAAAACCTATGGATAAAACAAAAAGATGTTGTTTTTTTTGTGTGTGTTCTCCACCTTATGGTAAACAATTTCAAATTGAAGTAAAAGAATTAAACATATTTTACCATTCTAATGGTATTCAATAGCATTTTCATTTAAAAAAACAAAAAAAACCTGCATGCTGCAAGAGTGAAAATATTTTGTGCATTCAATAAAAATAAATAAATAAATATGCTCAAAGAATGCAAGCTATTTCCTCTCTATCTCCTAATGAAGAAAATTAAAAATATTTCTTAAAAAATGCTGCATAGAAAAACAAACATGTTTTATGCACTATGGTAATTTACTCAAGCGTGTCAATTTTAACAAAACAGGAACATCTCAAAATTTTGGATCTGCCAAGTATAATGTAAGTATTGTAACAAATAACTTTGATGACAACTCTTGTGTCATTTTTAAAGGTGCAGAAGCAGCATATGTTGCTTTTTATAAGAAATGGAGAATTTTACATATTGTTGGTTTATCTTCTCTAACCAATGTGCAATAGATAGAAGCCTCACTTATAGCTTTACAAAATTTTAACATTATCTGCTTATTTCCCTGTTTGGTGTAGGAATGGCAGAGCCTTGTTTAGTTCTTATATTTCTGTAAAGCTGTACCTACAAAGTCTACAAGATTACAAGAAACTTAGAACAATAAAAAAAAAAAAAAGGGGGGGTTTTAGAAGCATTAAAATGAAGGCCAGTTTTTATTATGAGGACTTTCAATGAAATAGCTCAAAATTAATTAGCCAAAAATCATACATTAACAAGAATCAATTTTGTTAAAAGTTTTCAATTCTACAAAACTTTAAAATATTCATCGAGATATATTGCTTTTTTTTTTGAGTGGCAAATGCAAATACCAAAAATGCAAGACATTTAAAAAAAGAAAATAATAAAAAAAGAAAGACAGGGATTATTTTATATGAATAAAAATAACATAAAAAGTAAACTCACTTTGGGACTATCTTCTCCAGCATAACCAGCTCGGAAAGAATAGGAGCCAATGTCAAATACCAGGGCACCAACTTCATCTGTAAAAGTACATAAAAAAATGTTTTCTGGGTAAGAAATAAATTTGCAAAAATTTAAACATGTTTGAAGAAAAATAAATACAAATACCATTTTTTGAGATACTGACAATTATGGAAGAAAAAAAAAAAAAAAAAAAAAAAAAAAAAGAAAGAATTGTTGTTTGTGAATATTATGTAACTAACATATTGAAGAGGATTTTTTTTAAATGATCCTTTTCCAAGTTTAAAGACAAACAGAAAGATAGTATGAACATCAGTCATGTACGTACACACACACACACACATACATACATACATACATACATTTCTGGTTGTATGTACTATTTAATAGATAGATACCCAGTACAAGGTACTTCAATTTGGAAAACAAAGTGATATTTGTCTTTCATCAAACAGAAAAAAAAAAATTTCATGTTGTGTTGAATCAGGTTTGTTACAAAAAGCAACAAATATGATGCCAAGAGTAAATAAAAAAGAAATTTCATCCCCCCAGCACCACCACCAAAACAAAGTTTAATACAGAGTTTATATATATATATATATATATATATATATAAAAGCATAAGGGAAGGAGGCAGTAGACTACTTTATTTAATCGAACTGTGGTTTGCAGTGTTACCACTGATATTTTGTCTGACAATTTTCCCCTCTAGTTGAATATCCCTAGATTCCTAAGTACAATCATACCCCAAGGCACAAAGGAAAATTTGATTTTAAAATATGTTTATAAGGTGGAAAAAAAATTCATTTGTTTATTTACAAAATTTAAATGATAAATAATTGCTAAAATAATTTAGAAAAAGTGTAAAAAGAAATGAAAGGAAATTGCATAAATAGAATAAATAAAAAATAAGCCAGACACAAAACCAGCCAATCAGATGGCAAGGAAAAAAAGTCTTCATGAATGACTAATTAAATGCCATAATTATTTTCCTATATTTTTGTTCTCAAAGCAAGTCCACAAAATCTCCCACTCTTCCTTAAACTCTTCCTCATCCTATGATTTGGTCAATATCTCATGCCTCATTTGCGTGCAAATATCATCTTGGTAAATAAGAGACATTTCGAATTACAGGGAAACAAAATGATTTGACAAAATTGAACTTTTTAACACTCATTCTTATAATAGAAACTTTCATCTGAATCCTACAAAAGACTGAAAATGTGAAATATTAATTCTTTCATTTGTTAAGGAAAATAGTTATATATATATTCTTTTTCTCTTATATTATAAAATGTAATTTTTCTGACAGTTGTGTTTGCATTAATTCCTGACCACAACCTTTCCCCCTCCTTGTTTTCAATACAAGTTGTGTGTCAAGATTGCCACAGACATTTCAGACAAAAATTGCTAAAGTCAACACTTTCATTATCAATTTTTATTCTCCAACACCAGAAATAAATTTGTTAGTGCAATAGATGACTAAAAGTAATCCATGAAATCAAGAGAGTAATGATGACGTCAGATGGCAATAATAAGAGCCAAAACTTGGTCTATATATACTGGGTTCAAATAGGGTCAGCTAAAATATTAATTCAATTGTTATTTCATTTTTTCTTCTACTCTCAGAATTTGTCGTGTCCTTATGTAGTCATTAGAATGAATCAAAGTTTCCATGTATTTGTTTAATAAACTGTACTTGTGATGTTCAGGCAAACAGTGCCTTCAACTATTTTTACAATACAGTTTCTCTTTTCTTTTCTTTTTTTTGCTGTGTCCCAAAGTTGTAATGCATTTTCTAAAGACCTGATGCTTCCTGGAAAATAACCAAAAGCACATCTACATTCAATGCCAAACTAAATAAATTGTAAATAATAATTTGAATTAAATCATAACAATTCTCAAACTAAGCAATTTTTTTTTAACAACTAGCAGTATAACCCATCTTTCATTACTGGGAATTTTTGCCATTCAATTGGAGCAGTTTAAATTTAAAGTCAGCCCACCCGAGAATTAATATTAGTAACATTTGGGCGCAACTGAGGCTAAATTAAACAAAGTAGAACTTTACATAATTACTTTCAGATAAAATGCAAAAGTATGAGGAACATCTTTATGATGTAATTAATGTATAAAGATAATCTGTTACAATTTCCTATTCAAAAAAAAAAAAAAATTACATTTATGACCTGCTTTGTAACTGAGATAGGTTTATTTAAAAAAAAATTATCAATTTTTTTTTTTATTGTTGTTGTCCACAAGCAACAAAAGTCAGTAGATATGCATACAATGTCAAAACTTTATTCAGTGCCTGTTAGCAAATAATTCAATACTCATCTTGACAGGATTGGGTGAATGGGTGCTTGAACATGATACTGGAAATATGGGTTCCTACCATTACTGGTGTTTTTTACTCTCTCTCTCTCAACTTAAAGAGCTAATGAAACAGAAGGTGGTGGAGAGTAGCAGCCTTTGTGTACATTCTAGCAAAAATTACGGAATTTTCCTCTTTCCTTTCCAAAGAGAATAATGACAAGAACTCAGAAACCTTTTCAACAAGACCAGAGATGAAATGTATGGAAATTATGAGCATGTGAGAGAAGAGTTAATATTTTAAAAATTGTCTTTCATCTGCATTAAACAACAAAAAAGTGGAGGTTTTAAATTAGTTGTAAAAGTATAAAAAATTTGTAACATTCACAATCCAAACTGTATATTAATAAATGTATGTAGGCAAAAGTAAGCATTTCCACCAGTAATATTTGCTTTCCTCACAATCTCCTTTTCATGATTTTCATTGCACAACATACAAACTGAATAACCAAAACTTGTTATAAAACTCATATCTGTATTTAGTACAGAAAAAGGCTAAAATAGGCAAATAGAGTAGCAGTAAAGTCAGTGGGTAAAGATAAGAAAAGCCAAAAACTTTGCAATATAGATTGGGTTGAAATGCAATTAATGCTAAAAATAATTTTTATGATATGATTAAATACTAAAATAATGTTTATTTTCATCATATTGACACACACACACACAAGTATCAAATTCCCTTTACTGTAGACCAGATCAATGATGAGAGATTTAAGCCTTACTAAAGAGAATGATTTTCAAATATAACTAAAATTTTATTTTGATATGTTAACCCATGTCAATTTTTTTTTTAAATTTACAGGTAATGGCATATAGTTTTTATCCTATAATCATATAATCCAAGTCAATGGGACCATGTAATAATACAACATAAAAAAATGCTTCCATGCATGATTTATTTATTTGTAGTGATCACTGAACTATTTGGACTCAGACATTACAAAACACACAGCACATGAGTTATAAATGGTATCAGTAATGGGCAAAAGTGCAAATGAATAAAAAACACTTGCCAGTATAAATGATATAAAATATAATTATATATTTGTAACCCCCATATACAATATATACAAGTCTCATTGTCAGTCATTTACTGACTAATTTTTTTTATACGAGTAAATAAAAAGAAAAAAAAAAGAAGAGATGTTTGTCATTGTGAATAAATAAATGGGATTTATTTGCATCTTGGCAATGATGAACTTAACACACAGGAAGGAAGACAAAGGAAATTATAGTAAAAAAGGAAAGCAACAAGAAAGGGGCTGGTCCTGGAACATTAGCCAATTTCTATATCACCTAACATTTTAGACAAAACAAAGACAAGGATAAAATATGAAGAAAGGCAACACTTTATTTCCAAAAGTTGTTTTATCTTCTTTCACAAACCTGTCAAATTGAAAGAAAAATTGTTTTTTTTCTCATCTCTTGATTACAATGACTCAAATCTGATTTCAATCCATGGATTTGTAGAACAAGAATTCCCTATGTCAGAAAAGGAAAATAAATTATTGATCAAAATACGAAGATTCATTGATGAATCAAAAATCCTAATGAAACTCTTTGAATGCTAATGAATACACATTTCCCAAATACAGATATTTTATGAATAAAGATATAAGCTTACCAGAAATTTGGCTTGAAACAAAAAAATTAAACGAATGGTTAAAGATAGTAGAACTCATTGATGATTAGTCTATCAACTTACATGAAATAAAAACTTACAGCCTTTCAATATGAAATTTAATCAAACTAAAAGATGTTAACTGTTAGCACTCTGCATTATTAATATTACTTCCCTTTCCATTTTCTCAAGGCCTCAGTTGCAGTCTCCTTATTGTTAATTTCACTCAAAGTTGTTTTCTGTTGCCTTAGCAGGATATGACAATACAACTACGAAATTCAAACATTGTTCAGGGATCAGAATCACCTTCAGTGGCAGGATAAACTTTTTGTACAGCAAATCAAGTCATATACTGAGTGATAAAGGTTAAATAGTTTTTATTGTTTTGGCAAAATCCTGTGATTATTACAATGAATAAATAATAAATGCTTATTTTAGTGTAACTGCAGTATACTAGAAAAAAGTACTAAATTTAATCCATAACTAAATGAATGAATATTTGAGGCCTCATTGCACAAACAAGATTGTGACTTGTTCTTAGCAATCAGCCAATTTCAAATATAACTAAAAACATACAACATAACAAAAAAGATATCTATGTTTAGCCAAGTGTTACAACCAAGAACTAAAAAGTGCTTTGATTTTCTTATTTTTCTAGTGACTTGTTCGTTACAAGTGGGAAAAGGGAGTTATTTAAAATTTACTAGAAAAATAAGCAAATATCAGAAATATTAATAAATAAAAATAAGAGGGACAATTTATATATTCATAAAATATGCAGGTAAATTAAAGCCTAACATCATAGAAATTTTTAAATTAGAATAGTCCCAGGTATGAGAAGAAAGAAAAATATTTAAAAGTAGTTCTTTTTCATCTTTCTTGAATTAATTTTTTTTTTTTTTTTCCAAAGTTTATCAGTTGTGGCAGAAACAGCACTTCTGTAATTCTGCCAAGTGATAGGGAATCTTGAGAAAAAAGGCCATAGATATTGTTATTGATTCCTTGTTGCTGTGGTAACAGCAGCTGCATTAGATTAGGTGAATCTCCACTGTGAGGAAATCAATA